TTGTCACAGAAGCGTAAGTATCCTCTTCCCGTGTGACTACAGTATGGCTAACCTACCACAGTGGTCTCTTTGCCATCAAGGACTACCGAGACTCGATCAATCAGGACGATTTCAACAAGGCAGTGCGGAAGATGGCCGAGTCAAAGAAGCTCGAGGGCAAGCTAGACTACCAGAAGCTGTAGAACCATAGCCTAGACTCGGTTGATAATAATTCAAGAAAGAGCCATGAGCATCATGTACAATAGCGTCATAGGAAAGAGGCTGACATGGTCACACATCTGAAGTTACACTACGAAGTGGTGAATGAATTCACGTCACACTAAACTCACATCTCTGTTAAAAGCGACCTTCCGCACCACAGAGGTCGTCGTGGTGCATTTGTTCAGTTACGCTTATGGTGTGTACACTGACGTCATTCTTAGACTTGCCAATGTGAAAAAAGCTTATTGTGTTTGTTGGGGACAATATGGATTGATGGCGCAGAGACTATATGCTTTTCATCTCCATCTATTTGTACAGCCATAGTTTATAACAATCCACACAACACCCTGCTTCTACTGCAGGTATTTATGTTCCTGTAGCCATGTCTTGACATCTTCCGCATCTCTCTCAAGCCATGCGGCTTTGGCACTGATGGCGTCGATGCTCTGAGACAGCGCCATATCGAAGCCCTTGGTACTCTTGCTGCTGAAGAACGCCTGGATATCTTCAATGTGTTCCCGGTGAGTGAAGCCCGATGTTGTAATGGCAACAACCGAACTTAGCATGCTCAAGCTAGGAGGCAGCCTTCTCTCCAGCTCCGACCAGTTGTCCTTGACCCACTTCCAAAGCGCGTGACAGCCCTCTGCGTGTGACCTCAAGGCAGCAATGGGCAGGTAGATGTCTTGGCCCTTGACTTCGTCACTGAGGGCCATGGCGAGCGTGCGCTGGATGAGCTCTGGCGACTTGGCACGACCGAGCGCGCGAAGAGCCGAGTTGCGCTCGTCACTTGTGGCGGCGTTTCGTGTCTCGTTGACAATGACGTCGTACTGAGCAGGGTTAGTTCAGATTCCATATATCGCAGTTCAATGACTTACTTCTTCTTGCCCACCATTCGCCAACACAATAGCATATACGCTGCCGCGGATGTTGGGGTGAATGGCAGACTTGTCGCCTGCTTTAAACTTCTCAAACATGTCGAACGATGCCTTGGTAATCTTCTCGTCTCCGGCAATACCGGCAGCACCGAACATGAGACCCTTGAATTGTTGCTCGATATGGCCGTCTTTTTCATCAAACGTCCATCCCAGCTCATGTGCCTTCTCTGCACTGAGCTCTAACTGGAACTTCTTCAGAGCATCCCTGATCTTCTGGTCCTCGAACATCCATGCGCCCCGGAGGGAACCAATGCGACCAGTAATCTCCCCCCAAACGACGAACTCTGCCTCATGTTTGAAGCTGTCCAGGAGTGAGAGAATGCCAGACGTCTTTTGATAGCCAGACGCGGCCAGAGAGCCAGCATCAGCAATCATACCAGCTCTGTCCTCAACAGTCAAGAGGCCCTCCTTGGCCGAGATTCCAAGTTTCCTCAATCTCTCTGGCGTGTATGAGGTTCGGTAAAGACCAGAGTGGTCTGCGTTGAGCTTGAAGAAGTCGAGGTCCTTGAGCTTGAAGTCGGCTTCGCGATCGAAAAGCGTCAAGTCCTCATCAACCCCTTCTTTAGTCCGCAGCGCGAGAAAGACTGGATACAGGGTCTGGTCTTCTTCTGGCTTGACATCGGCTGTACGGAGGAAGCGGTTTTGCTTGAGGTGGATAGAGTCGGCGCCCTCGGTCACGGTAACGACCGGGAATCCGACCTTTTTGGTCCAGATATCCATGACCTTGCCAACGTCTTTGCCACTGGCATCAGCCAAGGCAGCCCACAGGTCGCCGGTCTCCGTGTTGCCATAGGCGTGCTTCTTAAGGTAGCGGCGGATACCCTCCATGAAGGTGTCCTCTCCGACATATTTGGAAATCATGCGAATGACACTAGAGCCCTTGGAGTAGGAGATGGCGTCGAAAATCTGATTGATCTCGTCTGCACGCTTCACAGGCACCTCAATGGGATGACTGCTGCGTAGAGAGTCGAGCGAGAGTGCGCTAGCCAGGTTGTCCGTAACATAACCTTCCCAGACCTTCCAGTCGGGATAGAAGACATTGCAGGAGTACCACGACATCCAGGTTGCGAATCCTTCGTTAAGCCACAAGCCGTCCCAGAAGTCCATGGTTACGAGATTGCCGAACCATTGATGCGCGAGCTCGTGCTGCACCGTCTCGGCAACGCGCTGCTTGGTAGCAGCACCACTGACCTTTTCGTCAATAAGCACATCTACAACGCGGTAGGTGACAAGGCCCCAGTTTTCCATGGCACCTGCACTAAAGTCGGGAATAGCAACCATGTCCATCTTAGGGAGTGGGAAGGGACTGTCAAAGGTCTTCTCGTAAAACTCCAGCGTCTTTGCGGCCAGCTCGAGCGAGAACCGGCCATGCTCAATGTCTCGGTCCTTTGGAGCATAGACTCGTACAGGGACGCGGAAGTTGTTCGTCTCGATGTAGTTGAGCTCGCCGACGATGAAGCACAGGAGGTATGTTGACATGAGGGGCGTCGGATTGAAGGTGACGGCCTTGCGCTTTCCGCCCGAGATGGTGCTGTCGACTTGCTTCTCCGACGCCACGTCCATGTTGCTGAGACAGGTCATCTTGTCATCGGCGATGAGCGTGACGGTGAACTTGGCCTTGAGGGCCGGCTCGTCGAAGCAGGGGAACGCCCGCCTGGCATCCGTGGGCTCCATCTGGCTGGTCGCCATGTATGTGGTCGAGCCATCGGCGGCCTTGAAGGACGAGCGGTAGAAGCCGGCCATGTTGTCGTTGAGGACGCCGGAGAAGGTCATGGTAAGCTTCGCCTTGCTGCCGCCAGGGATGGTCTGGTCGAAGCTGACCTTGGTCGTCTGCGCATCGTCGTCGGTGGTGACATTGGGCGATTCGGTGATGACTTGTTGGCCAGCCGTGACCTTGGTCGAGTGGATCTTGAGCTCGTTGGTGTTGAGGGAAATCGAGGTAGTGTCGTCGACGACGTCTAGACTGGCGTGGTGTCAGTGGGCGTCTTGTCGTGCAAGATGCGCATGTGCCTACTCGATGGTGACGGTGCCTTGGTAGGTAAAGTTGGCAAAGTCTGGCTCCAGCGTCAAGTCATAGTGAATAGGCTTGACATTGACAGGCAGCACCTCACGGCCCTTGGTGATGTCAACGGACGAGTGGCCCTCGGCGCCAAAGTACTTGCACATGTTTCGTCGATGGGAACAGTGCCTCACAGTGACAAAGGCAGGGTGTCGGGAGGATGGAGGGGAGCGGAGAGATGGTGTCGGCGAGGCAGCGGGGTAACGAGGGAGGCGAGTGTTTGACGTGAGCGTGTGCAAGAGGTTCCGACGCGGCTTCAGTCGACTGGGACTGCAGCAAGGGGCGGTGACGGGTCTTGACACCAGGAGACGGCCATGATGGGTGAAGCGGTGCATCTAGCTTCTCGTCTGCTGCAGCGCGACGTGCATACAATACCAAGGGACCCAGGTAGAAAGAAGCACGGAAAATGCTCAAGCGCACTAACTCAATGGCAGCCCCAAAGGCACTAGCAACCTTTTGTTTCTATCAGCACGCTGCTTTAGAAGCGCACACAGTGAGACGGGCAGAGTTCTTCTCCAAGGGCCCTCTTGTTGATGTTGATGTTGCGCACCACATGTGGCCTAGTGGAACGTTCCGCTAGCCGGTATATAAACCTTGCCGACTTGCTCAAAGACTTTTCTATTCAACACGCAAGAAAGTCCTCCCAGCGTCACCCTCTCCGCAGAGACGCTGTGTGTTCTGGCAATATAGCCAGTTCTTGCTAGAGAAGACCTAGCCCTCGTTTGAGCCCTTTCGCAATTCCTGCATGAGTGAAAGGGTATAGAAGTAGGGTCACATGACAATGCTGTGCGTGTTGCTGTCGGCGTAGGACAGCAAGTAGCGCAGTCGCAACTCATGCTCTTGGGTGAATGATGTTCCGACCCATATCTCAGCATGATGATAGACAGGCGTGTATAAAGACGTTTGTTTCGGAGTTTTGGAGAAATGTCGGGCTCCGAGTACGAAGGGCTCTGACTACGAAGAGGCTCTTGTTCTCCATGTCGTACCTTGGCTATACTAGCATACATGACATTTTACATTAAATGCCCAGGATAGTGCCTAATCGCTGATGGTCTGCGGTGACCTCCCTCCTACTACGACGTAGACATGTTAGACGTGAGCAAAAAAATACCTCGCTGATGGGTTTCAGCAAAAATACAAAAACATACAACAGCGGGGATTCGCTAGTGGTCACCCACCTAACTACTAATCCGCCGGTACACTGCTTGTATATGGCTGAGCGGACGGGAAGCCTAATTTTCAGTGTCCTATGGTCGTATGTGGAAGAAAAGAGATAAGATATGTATATAATGGTCATATTTTTGAACCACATGAGGTTCATGGCTTCGGTTGCGATCGATGAATCTCCCACATGAGTATATATACAGCTGCATACAGTGAAGCCAATTGAGAGTTTGGGAACACACTCTTACTGCGATACAATACAGTGTAACTCAACAGCGTTGTGTCTGCGTCTTATCACCAGCACGTCCATCACATCAATAAAGGTAGTATTTTGCGATACTATCCACCCCAACCACGAACTACAACGTCATAATAAGAAATAAGAATGAATAGACACATAAACATAAGGCTGCGAGTACTTCTAAAGTTTCAGATTCTAAAGATTTGAAGGTGGAAGGAGCGACCATTCGAAGATGGAAGGAGCGACCAATGACAACTGCCTTATGTGAGCGACTAGACTAGCGCGCTAGGGGAGTTGGAAATTGATCCAGTCCTGTATCCCGCACCTACTCCCAGCATCACCACCGCCGACAACCCATTGATCCAGTCTCCCTCTCGCTCCGAGCCAGCTTCACATGACCATGTTGGCTCGCTCAGCACTGCGTACGGCACGCTCCGCCGCTGCCACGGCCCGCAATGCCTCCAGCAAACCGGTACGCCTCCCGCATGGCCCAAGAAACCCCGACAGCTCGCGCGAGCTTCATCGACACCATCTCTCGCCGGGCTGCAATCCAAGGGCTTGTCCCGCCTCAATTGAACAATCTGGCTGACGGAATGGGTGATACAGCGCTTTGCCTCGACATCGAGCTCTGCCGACGGCGCCGCCTCGGCATGGAAGAACAACGCCCTCCCCGCAGGCGCCACCATCTTCGCCGTCGGTTCGACTGCCTGGTACTGGCATCTCTACGGACGCCAAGTTGATGCCATGACCCCAGCCGAAGAAGGGTGAGTGCGCCAAAGATGATCCGACCGCAAGTCATGTACTGACGCTATGCTTATACAGTCTCCACCCAACTCAATACCCGTGGGAGCACGAGAAATGGTCCAAGACCTTCGACCACGGAGCGTACGTCCCTTCCGCCCTACCGCACATGCGCACTCCCTAATCTGCTACAGTCTCCGCCGTGGCTTCCAGGTCTACCGCGAGGTCTGCGCCTCCTGCCACTCCATCTCCCGTGTGCCTTACCGCGCCGTCGTCGGAAAGTTCATGACAGTCGATGAGGCCAAGGCGCTCGCCGAGGAGAACGAGTACGACACAGAGCCCAATGACCAGGGCGAGATTGAGAAGCGCCCCGGAAAGCTCTCCGACTACATGCCTGCTCCCTACAAGAACGACGAGGCCGCCCGCGCTGCCAACAACGGTGCTCTACCCCCCGATCTATCGCTCATGGTCAAGGCCCGCCACGGCGGCTGCAACTACATCTTCAGCTTGTTGACTGGTTACCCCGAGGAGCCACCTGCCGGCGCCGTTGTCCAAGAAGGCCTCAACTTCAACCCCTACTTCCCCGGTACCGGAATTGCCATGGCCCGTGTTCTGTACGACGACCTGGTTGAGTACGATGATGGCACCAAGGCTTCGACCTCGCAGATGGCCAAGGACGTGGTTGAGTTCCTCAACTGGACCGCTGAGCCTGAGATGGACGACCGCAAGAAGATGGGCTGGAAGGTTCTCGCTGTCACCAGTGTTCTGTTCGCGCTCAGTGTTTGGGTCAAGAGGCAAGTCTCCGCACCTCACCATTACAACTCGTAACTAACAATCACGACAGGTACAAGTGGGCACCGCTAAAGACACGGAAGATTGTCTACCAGCCACCACAGAACAAGAGCATCCTCGACCAACTGCCCAAGCCAAACAACTCTGGCAAGACGAACCAATAAACATTGAGTGGTTTTGCATTTCCGCGGTTCAGGAGAGCGGGTAGCGGAAGCGTGTGTTCTATATCGTGTACATTGCCAGGTACTTCCAACAATCAGATTTCTTTGCCTCGTGACATACAGTCCCGTGCTCCTCATGTCGCTTGTTTTGGACATGCTTGTCTTTCAGTCCCCGTAGGATAGTTTTCTTGCAAACCCAGTAGCATCCGCTATCCCACCATGTACATCCATAGACCGCAGTTCCACTTCCCCAAAATAGTTAGGCTCGCTGACCTGATTGAAGCATAACGTTTTGAATAGTTTGATGCTCCGGGTGTTGTCTTTGTCAATCTTGACTCTCAAGTAGCTTAGAGACTTCAGCTTGCTCGTGTCATTTGTTCCTTTTGCGTACTCCTCCAGAATAGCCGGCAACGATGTGGATATATACCAGATGAATGCCTGCAGGGCTTCTTTCGCGAGTCCCTTTCCTCGGGCGCTAGGTCGAGCAATCATAATCTCCAACTCGCCGACCGTGTCCACCTTCTCTGTCCCACAGCCTTCTTGTTGCTCTACGTCATCACCTTCCTCACACGGATACAAGAACAGGTTCACGTCCCCTACCATGCGGTCGGGTGCATCTTCCGTTCCGGGAGAGACCTTGACCATCGTGGAAAGATCCGATGGTGCTGTTGGCGTGTTCGGTGAGGTGCAGATGATAAAGGTCAATTTATCTGCATCCTGACGCCACGACGCTTGCATGGCGTACTCCTCCTGAAGCGTCAGTGGCTCAGATGCGGTAAGCTTCTGCAACTCCTGTGCCCCAGTCAGTCCTGGGAAATATTCCTACAGTGCGAAGTATGGTGGGCTCTTGGTATACCTCATCTTGCATCCATTCGTGGTATGTGGGGACGTGGTGAGAACTGTACGGAACAAGAAGAAGGCGGGGTGTAAGGATAGCTGAAAAAAGTCAGCATCACAATATGGAGCGGTGCTTTTGCGATTTATACCCTGGTGTTCGTTAACCTTCATCGTGATGATGGTCGTCGGGTAATTTTTTCGAATTTTCAATGTCCTTCTTCAACGTGACGGCGATGGAACACCATGAAGATACGATCTAGGCGAAAGACTAAGAAATCTGATGTTCACACCGAAACCATATGTGCTCACGTGTTTCGTTTGTTCGGAGTCCAGATATTTTGTGGCAAATATTATGTGTCGTAGTTGGAGGATACCAGCAGTGTTGATTTACGCCGCAGTCAAGATCAATTTGCGCGGACACCAACGATGGGACCGGCGTCGGGCGATAACCTTCACAAATTCATACAGTCCAACAATCACTACCTAGTTCATTCTTTTTTGGCTCTAGTGCTGAGAATGCATAGTTCCTTACTTCGAATGGCTCGTGGAAGTGCATTTTTGCACGAGACATACAGCGGGAAAGCATTGGGCAATGCTTGGATGCGACACGCGCCTCGTCATGTCTTACTCTCTCATAGACCCGACGTCACATCCTACCAACAACCGTACGCGGTCGTATGAGTGGATCCGCTGCAGATACTGCAAATACGAAGCTCTATGCTTCCATGCTGTTAATACAGATCGACTGGAGTGCGCTCAAAGAAAGAAACGCGTCCGACGTCAACAACACTAATCTGCACCACACACAGCGTCTCTGAGGATTCCTCAAACATCAAGAAATGGACCCAACCCGCGTTCTGGTGACAGGCGGCTGTGGATTCCTAGGTACTGCCATCGTCTCCGCACTCTTACGCAGCAAGAGATACTCCATCACGGTCATAGACGTCAATCCGCCCTCGCTTGGCAGCGACACCTTCACCAATAGCGTACGCTATGTCCGCTGCAACATCATGGACTCATCTTCTCTGTCCAGTGTTTTTTCCGAAGCTCGACCTGCTGTCGTCATTCATACAGTGGGTGTCTTTCCTCTAGGCACGAAGCGATACTCCATGCGGGGCAAAGACGCCATCTTCAAGATCAATGTCGAGGGAACAAGGAATGTTGTTGAAGCAAGCAGGGAGTGTGGTGCAAAGGCTTTTGTGTACACGAGTAGTGTGACTGTTGTTCTGGATGAATTGGATCGCGATTTCAGGAACGTAGATGAACGTTGGCCCACAGGTGGTGTGCACACGAGCTACGGACAGAGCAAGGTAACCGATTTTCTCTTTTGTTGTGTTTCCCTTGACTATTCCTTGAAACGCGCCTGTTCTCTCTTGAATCACCTTGTTTCATGCCAGTTTTCACACCAGAAGTTCTCAACTATTCATTTCGCTCACATGAAGTACTGCTTCCTAGCCACCGTAACATCTCTCATTCAAAACTATTCACCCAAACTTTGGAAAGAAATGGAAAAGAACAAGCAGAAACTCACACGTAGTAGGCACTCGCAGAATCCATTGTTCTTTCCGCAAATACGCACGACTTCGCGACTTGTGCTCTGCGGTCGGCCCCCATCTTTGGCCGCAACGACACCGTTTGCATCCCCACAATACACTCGTGCATCTCAGCGTACCAAACGCCCTTCATCCTAGGCACAGGAACCAACCTGCAAGATTTTGTTTATATAGAAAACGTAGCAGACGCACACGTCCTCGCCGTTGGCAATTTGCTAAATTCGCAAACTGCTGCTGGTGAAGCCATGTTCATTACCAATGGCGAGCCTGTCACAGCGAGGGCCTTGTGTCTAGCAGTCTGGAAAGAATTCGGTCATGTTCCAAGGTTCCACGTTAGAGTTCCGGAAGGGTTGACGTGGTGTTTGGGTTACTGTGCTGAATGGGTTAGTTGGATGACGGGGACAGAAGGGGTGCTTAGTCGGGGTATTGTGAGTGATGGATGTCGCGATCGCTATGTCAGTATTTCAAAAGCAAGATTGTTGTTGGGTTACAAACCTCGAGTCGGCTTGGAGGAGGGTTTGAGAATCAGCTGTGAGGTAAGTTGGAGCAAAAACTGCGTAGGTCGAGCGGATGTGAAGAGCAAGGAATGCTAACTTGGTCTAGCATTACAAGGCGAAGTTGGGAGGAAGGAGGAAGAATTAATCCAAGACACACCGGGCCATAGTGAGCGTGGTTGTGTTGTATGAAATCGGCCGTCTGAACCTTTCTCTCTCCGATAAGGGATGAGTGATGCAAGAGCTGTTGCATTCACGATTGTTGTAAAAAGAACGTGTTGAGATGAATCATAGTATGCCATTCTTCGTCATGGGTTGTATGGTTCGGGAGATCATTTCCCAGCAAGTTCATTCGAGTTACTATCATACTCGTCTCTACTCATTCAACTACCTAATTCACGACTTCTTCGGTCTCATCGATGATCTCCTCTACAATCTCCTCAATCTCTTCCTGGTGCCCATCATCCGCCTGACCAGGCGTCTCTCCCTTGAGGGTTGCCAGCTCGAGGTCGGCTCCTTCGTCGCGCAACCTCTCAGTGACCTCCTCGCGCCACCTGCGCCACTCATCCAGCATCTCGCGACGAGCTTCCACCACAGCCTTGTTGGCGGAGCTCTTCTTGGCGACGTCTTGCTCATCAAAGACCTTGGAGTAGTTGCGCAGGTTCTTGCGAATTTCGGCCTGCTCCTCCTTGGAGAGAAGGGTCGGGGGGCGTGGGCGCCAGAGGAGCTGCTTGAAGCCTTCGATGGCTTCTTCGCGGAGGAGTGTACCCTTGAAGTCATAAAGATGGTAACCGTTCTCCATCTAGTGGGTGTTAGCAAAAGCAAAAAGACGTGACGGTAAAGATACATACGCGATGACGGAAAGCACTGGCAACGGTGGCGACGTAGCGGCCGGTAGGGTCCCACTCAATGTCGGTTACACCGTAGTGCTCGGCTGTATCCATGAGCTGCAGGTTGGCGTTAACTTCCTTGTCACCCTTCTCAGACTCCTCCTTGGGCTTGTCGAAGCTCATGTCCCAGAACTCGAGTTCAAAAGACTGCTGAGACTGGAGAGCGGCGACAACAACGAATCGTCCCTTGGGTGACCAGTAGATGGCGTTGCTGTTCTTCTTGTCGATGGTTCGGATGTGACGGAAGTTGCCAGGTGCGCCGCCCTTGAGCTTCTCGGGGGCGAAGAAAGAGACGGCAGTCTTGGGACCCACAGCAGCGCCCTGAATGACTTCGCCAGTGGTGATGAGCACGAAGCGGTTGCCCTTGGGTTCCCATGCAAAGTTGATAACAGTGTCCTTGATTGAATCGACGACTTCAACAGGCACTCCCTTTTCGCGGACACGGAAGATCTCCAGGTTGGTGGCGAGGGACTTCTTGGACTTGGAGTGGCGGTCGACCTTGACACAGACGTAGGCAGCTTCGGATTGCCAGTGCAGCTTCGCATCAGAGACGTTGAACAGATTTCGCGTGCGCACAATCTCTTTCGAGGGAACGGACATGAGACCGACCTTGGCGGGATTGCTACCGAGCTCGGGTGTCCAGTAGCAGAAGAGCTGCTCGTATGTCTTGATACCTTCTCTCCGGGGTGTTGCTGGAGCCCACTCAAAGTCCATGACGCCCTCGATCTTGACAGAGGTCTTGTCGAGAAGGTTCATGCGCGGCAGCTCGTAGATGGAAATGGATTGGCCCTGGGTCATACGTGCGACATACTTGTCGTCGGAAGACCACTTGAACGTCGGCCACTGCAGCTTCTTCTTGACGGGGTTACCATCGGCGTCGGTGCCACCGGGTACATCGATGGTCGCAAAGGAACGCAGGGGCTTGCCTGTGGCGATGTCCCAGATGATGTAGTTCTTGCCGTCCTCTTCGAGCGAGAGCGATGGGACCGGGTGGTTCTCGTCGACCTGGAGTGGGCGGTGGGACCAGGTGGTGAGGTACTTTTCGCTGGGCGAGAAATCGACGAGGTTGACGCCGGGATGGGCGAATCGCTTCTGCCTGCTCCATGCCTTGCCACCCCACAGCTGGACACCTTGGGCGTGCATGGAGGTGAGGTAGGTTCCCTGGGGCGACCACTGGATGAAGGACTCGGTCCAGTTCTCGCGGTCGACAACCTGCTCGGGCTGGTCTT